AGGCTCTTGTGCGTGCGAGCGGTGCCGACATAGGGCACATTGTTCTCCAGGGGTTCTCCGATAGAACCTACCTGGAGGGGTAGAAATAGAGAATTGCGTTAAACTTTATCCCTGTAGGAGATACATGAAAATGTTTCCTACAAAAATTGTCGGAAATATTATAATAAAATTTATGAAAAAAAAAAAAAATTCATCGATTGGAAAAAAAGTTATAATGAATTTTAGGTCGTAATTCCGTGAAAATTGCTTCCCAATGGGGTAAAAAAATGAGACTTGAAGCTTGAACCTTTCTAAACATTCAATAAGACGGAAAAATTAAAAAAAAAAAATTGTTTTTGAATGTTTTTTTAAATTTTTCTCACTCTGAGTTTTTGAACGGCTCTGGGGGATGAACGACGCGAAATAGGGGTGAAGTGGTTAGGACCTTTTTTGTAGAGAATTTTGCGCTCTACAATTTTGTTTGATGCTTCACATCGTAGCTCGAGTATTTCTCGAGTTATTTCAGAAAAACACTTTTTTGGGGGTAATTTTCAATTTTTTTCACCCCTTACTGGAGGGTGAGTACCTTGATTAGCCTCGAATATTGATTATAAGTCAAAAATTGATTTTTACGCAAAAAAGCCGGCTGTTTCGCAGAACCATGTATTTCGGACCTTCTTTCACTGGACTATCAATTGAACCATACTCGTCTTGACTTAATTACATCAGCCATACGGCAGTCATTACGCGTTAGTCGGTCGCCTCTCTTCCGTAAATCAAAAGTATTTGCGAAAAAAAGTTAATTAACGATTAAAAAAAGGCAGGGGCATGTCAGAATAGGATGACTTTTCCAAACACTTATTTCAAAAAATAGTAAACGTTACACATGTGAAAAAGGGGGAACGTTAAACTCGTGTTATTTTTAGGGAGAGTCGTAGGACACGCGCACCCTCGCGCTAGACTCGACGAGACAAGCGGAGGGGGCACGAGTCGAGCTGAAGACTTGCTCGTCTCGTCTATCGTTCGGCTGCGCGTGTCCTACGACTCTTCCTAAAAACATTACCCCACCCGTATTAACATTCCCCCTTTTTCACACTTGTAACGTAATATACTATTCCTTAATTCACAAGTTGCAATATTGAATAAAGAGGAATTATGTTAAAGATCAATCAAGTGTTTTTGTTTGTGATCAAAACAAACACACAAAATAAAAGTCATTCGAAATCTCATTCGGGTAATAAAAAAATCTCTCCATGTATTACTGAAATTTTTTTCAATTTATTTTTTCCTTTATATCGTAAAAGGATATCGGTACTCCTCATTCCTACGGTCAGATTCCAATTATTATTATGAAAAGGAAATTAAAAAAGAATCAGAGAAGGATAATCGGCTAGAAAATGTTTTTTTCTCTTTTTTTACAACGGCAGGAACTTTAAGTCAATTTTTTTCTACATGTATTAGAGGGATATCAATATTCCAGCGAGAATATTCAAAAAACGCAAAAAAAGTGAGTGAAAAGAACTAAAAAAATTAATTTTTCAATGTTACCGGAAAGTTTTAAAATTGATACGTTTTTTCGAATAATGGAAGCATACCCATAAATTCGATTTCTATCCTTGTCTTTTCATAGAATGAATAGAATAAATGAAAGAAATTAAGGATTGGAGACTAAAAATTTTATCGGATTATTATTATTGGATTATGTGTAGGAATACTCAATAAAAACACATTAGTTTTATTCTTCAAAGTAAAACTCTTTAATGATCGCACGCAGAAGGTATATCTTTCTCCAACGAAGTCTCTAGGACGACTAACTAAAAGTCATGAGAGTTTTCACTCTCTGGACCCATTTGACAAAAGGCCCTTGTTTCAATTTTCTTCAGCCTCTCCTTTGTGACTCACCATGAGGACTGTTTTTCTACACGTCTCTATTTTCTAAGAAAAGCCATAAATGTCACCCTGAGTGTTTGGGTGGAAAAGAGAAAATGTTTAACTAAACTAAGAAATTAATTTTTGTATTCAGGCATGAATTCCAACAATTATTATGTAATAATAATTATTATTATTATTATCAAAACACCAAGAAATTTCAAAAATCGACGAGAATAGGAACCTTCCTGTGAACGAAGGAAAACACCACGATGAATTCAGGGAAGCGAAGCTTGAGAAACGGTGAGGTATTTTGAACACTCAATTAACTTGTATTGCCAAAAGCTCAGGCGTCAATTATTTTCCGTAGGCAGTAGCGGGTACCCGCGCGCAGTGCAATAGCACTTAGTCACCCCAACGACAAGTCTCACCCATTGCAAATGAGGACTGGCACGAAACATGAGTTTACTGCTAGGGTTCCCGCCACGAATCTCAGCGGGCCCCTTTGCGAGCCCCATCACTTTCGTTCCACGTAATAACGCCCGGTCTCTTGGAGAAAAAAAGTACAAACATTGTGAGTGACATTTCTGGTTGCGTTGCCTCAGAAATTGGAGAAATATAAAAAAAAATTAATATGGGATGTGTCTGCAAGGAGGGAGCCATCTCTCATTTTTTCTCATATGTATTTATGGTATAATAATATTTTTTCGTATGAAATAACAATCTCCATAAAGATTTTTCTTCCGAGCCGAGTCAAAGTAAATTAAAATTAAAAAGGTAAAACCTTGACATGAAAACCGAGGAGACTGTTACTATGAATGTTTTTCCGGTATCAAGAGTTTCAAAAGTAAATTTTATTTCTCATAATACTACAATGTATAGTTATACCTTGCTACGCCCCCTACTTGCTTCGCTCAAAAACCCCCATTGATCCCCCTGACCTTTGTGATCCTTAATCGGATCCTTGTCACTCTTATTTAGACCCTTGTTATCCTTATTTGGACCCTTAATCTGACCCTTGTGATCCTTAATTTGACCCTCGCGGCCCTTATTCTAACCCCCATAAGCCTTCATCTGACTCTCGTGACCCTTATTTTGACTCCCATGACCGTTATTTTGACAATTGAGACCCTCATTCTGACAGTATGATCCTTATTCTGACCCTCACGAACATTATTTTGATCCCCGTGACCCTAATTTTGACATTCGTGACCCTTAATTTTGGCGTCTTAATTTCGAGGACCAAATTTTCATCACCAGAAGTCGATTTCGATTTTCAGAATATAGAGAGATTCTGTTACTTGGAAATGGGGCAGTTCTTTATCGAACAAGTTATACCGAAAAATCTATTCATCAACTCCAAAAATACTGGAAAAGTAAATATTCCACGATGTCTTTAGTCAATGTAATGAAGACATTTTGCCCTTCACCTCATATCACATCTTGTTATCTATGTATGTCTACCTGACGCGTTGATATAAAAAATTCCATATCATCGTCATCTCATAGATGACTAAGTCTTCAAGAGACAGAATTCAGAAAAACATCCTTCTTATTTCAACTATATCAAAACATTGTTTTATTTTCCATTTCATGTTTCATACTTACTGGTGTAGACAACGCCATTGCTCGTGAATTCTACCGTATTCCCTGGAGGGCTCTGCTGCGATAGAAATAGAGGAAAAAATAATGATAATGGGAGGAACGAAGAAGAGAAGCAAGACAAAGTATCGAAGGAAAAACATTCTAGAGTCAAAAGTATTCCAATGATACCAAATCTCTTTCCGTCAACATTTCACTAACGGACTCATCCAATATTAAAACAGTCGAACAGGAATAACTTCAAATCCTATCAGCTCTCTTACCCCCTTCCCCTTCCCTATTGGAACCATTTTTGGCATGAATACTGGGCATAACTTTCAAACATGGAAATAGCGTAAAAAACAATAAACCGGGAATACTAGAAATAAGGGATGGAAAGTGGGAATAACAGAATGAAGTGCAGGTTGTACTTTTCGGGAAAAAAAATTTTTTGTACCATCAACCCCTCCGGCGATGCAATGAAGAATTGTTGGCGGTTTTATATGCGCCCACTGTACCGAATCATACAGGTATGATAACATTCCAATGGTTTACTACCATAGGACAATAAACTTGGTGCGAATGTGTATATAAGAGGAGGCGATAGGGTTACAATGATTCAAGTGGAGGTGGAGGTTTCAACTGGTGAAGCGGTTGACATGGTTCATTCATCCCAATGTGTGTGTTATGCACTCATCATGTTTCTCGGGCACAGTTGTTATGTACAGAAGCCCTTCCTGGAAGCGAGAAATGGTTGAAGAGGCAGTAAAATTTATACATGTGTGTGTGTGTGTGTGTGTGTGTGTGTGTGTGTGTGTGTGTGTGTGTGTGTGTGTGTGTGTGTATGTATGTATGTATGTGTACCTTGATTCCATATGGAGAAGGTAAAAGGTAGGAAAGGTACATGTGCGGAGAGTGATAAATATAAACTGAAGTAGTCACAGTACTGGTTCGAGCTGCAGGACGAATGCAGAGAGTAGCAGAAGACTGGGTCACATACTTTGATCAGGGTCTCTAGTTGATGGTGCATCCTTTGGACGTCATCCACATTCGTCCTCCCCCCCCCCCCCCCA